CATGATCAGCTACTGGCTATGAAAGGCCGGTATGCTAGCATGTGGCGCAAACAGATTCGAGCCCAGCGCGCGGCCGCAGAAGCGCAAGTTCTCCAAGATCGCGCTCAACGTCTGCGAAGTGCATCTACGACTGGTGTTGGAGACGATAGCTCCAGCCAGTCTGATGAGGACCGCAACGGCAAAGATCATCCGGCCACAGCTCGACCAGCGCAGGGTCAATATTCCGGCAAATCTTCGGATGATAGCCAGAAAGGGTAGAGTATGACAACGGTTATAGCGTCATCCACCCACGTCTTTATTCTCCTCGGGTAAAGGAACAGTTCATACTATGGAGAGCTATTTCGTTTGTCACTATAGAGTTGACGGAGTGATGAGATACCATTCTCGGGGTTTCCGATTGATTTTCTGTCTTTCCGTGCTGTCTTGCCGTCCTACTATTGAGTTATTGGCGTTCTGAGTGGCTTACGTGATGGCAAGAAGTTTCTGGGATTTTGTAAATGCCTGGCCTTTACTTTGCAGCACAGGTGGAACAAAACGGTTCAATGCTTGGATAGCAAGAACATTAGACTAATCTATCTAATTACATCGCCAGAACGGCTTCTTTGGCAGCTTTACTCCAGGGATTTATGAAGTGAGAAGGCCAACTTCCGTAGGAAACAGTAGTATGCTTGATGCCTGAGGTCTTCACATGTCCCCAAAGATGACGGTGTTTGGGCGGATTGCCATTGAGCAGGCTCCGATTGGCTGCCGCTTACATCACCGTTCCCCATGTCAGGTCCGTCAGCCTGAAATTTCAGGCATTAACATATTCTAGCTCAACAGCTTTTTCGATTCCTGGGCATCCTTTCCCATTGAATCGGTCAGTGTCGAATACCATTTTAACGGATATCCCACAGAGGTTCGATCGCTAGAAGAGACTTCAACAGTCAACGTCTTTGCTTTACACTCACCCGCGGAATCATTTCGACCTCGATGATGCAACCTCCATCAACCCAGTTACTCCGAGCACTGCGCACCAGCATCTCCGGCACCCGCACTGGCAATCTCTGCTCAACTATCCCTCGATCCAGCTCTGCCATACGGTCGACTGCTCTATTGGGACCTTCCCGCCGCAACAACAGCAACCATGCCCGCCCGACCCGAATGATCCCTCGCTCCCATACGCCAAAGCCAACCAGCCATGACCGAGGCCCACCTTCGAAGGAGGACACGCAGACAGATTTCGCCGCGCTCAATGTGCTAGGCAATATACCCGCGCCGACGACCGCCATTGATGCCTGCCTTGATTCCGGGTTTCATCTGAATAGTGGGGTCAAGGTTACCGGTGGAGATGGGGTGCTGCTCGTTGGCGGGGAGGCTTTCGCCTGGAGGCCCTGGAAAGTCAATGAGGGCACGAAAGCAGGCATGTTGAATAAGAAGGGCCAGTTTGAGGTGGATGAGCAGGCGTGGGGGCTCCTGGGGCTTGTGTGGCCTCGTCCTGGTGAGTCGGCATTTTCCCCGACACTCTGCTAAAGGCGTGCTGACCATGATGGATTTCCTTTTGTGCTAGACTTGCTACTTATTGGTATGGGGGCTTCGGTGTTTCCCTTGTCCCCTGATACGAGGCGACATATCAATTCCCTGGGTATTCGTGTTGAGGTGCTGGATACTCGGAATGCAGCTGCGCAGTTTAATTTGCTTGCTACCGAGAGAGGCGTTTCGGAGATTGCTGCAGCTATGATCCCTATTGGGTGGAATGGGAGGTAGAAGACTGATTCTTGTACATATGTGACTATGTCTGAGGGGAATCGGTCATTGGTGCTTCTGTTATACCCATCCATTCTGTCCGCTATTTGTACACTATTTAATACATACACTCCAATAGTTCTTTGTACATCTTCATCGCCGTAGAACGTCAGAAGATAATCAGTGCCCAGATGCAATCCAGGTCCTATTCTAGGTACAGTCGAGAGACGCAGTCCCTACTGTAGGTTGGTTATCTCATCGTGGCTTATCAAGCGAATCAGCGCGTGACGTATTCCGAGTCCCGTGAGCTGCCAAGCCCAATGCAGCTGCAAGCCACAAGGGAGTCCTGATCCCAGTTTCAGGATTCCTCACTTTCTCGCTTTACGCTCGTTAAATGATTCAGTGCATCAAATAGGTCTTGTTGATTCCATTCTCTAATTCATCTGAGACATCCTGCCTAGTATGGCGCGAGACGAGCCTCTTTTGGCTCCGCGCCCTTCCTCGGAGAACGCCTCGATTCGGAATGCGGAAGAGGAGGACGCACTGCTGACCGGAGAGCGGACCGGGCGAGGCCAGGAACGACGGGGCTGGCCTTTCTGGCGAGAAGTCGGTCTCTTCAGCTGGGCGCTCCTAGCAACAATTGCTGTTATCGTGCTCGCAGTCGTCTACCAGCATGAGTCGAGCAAGACGGATGTTGGCTCGAGACCCCCCTGGGGTCCTGGAGGAAAGCCGACCGGCAAACGCAACCTGATCTTCATGGTGTCGGACGGAATGGGCCCTACCAGTCTTACCATGACCAGAAGCTATAGACAATTCGCCGAGGGACTGCCGATTGACGACATTTTGGTGCTGGACGGCCACCACATCGGAACTTCGAGGACGAGGTCGAGTTCTAGTCTGGTGACGGATTCGGCTGCCGGTGCGACGGCTTTCTCTTGCGGTTTTAAGAGTTACAATGGTGCCATCTCTGTGCTTCCGGATCATTCGCCCTGTGGAACCGTCCTCGAGGCTGCGTCGTTGGCCGGCTACAAGACCGGACTTGTTGTGACGACTCGGATCACCGACGCCACCCCTGCTTGCTTTGCTTCGCACGTGAACATGCGACAATACGAAGACCGGATCGCCGAGCAGGAAATTGGCGAGCACCCACTCGGGCGCGTTGTCGACCTTATCTTTGGTGGTGGTCGTTGCCATTTCCTGCCCAATTCGACCGATGGGAGCTGCCGGGCAGATGATCGCGACTTGGTCAGCGTCGCAAAGGAGAAGGGATTCAGCTACCTTGATGATCGGAAGGGCTTTGACTCACTGAATGGCGGATCAGAAGCCAAGCTGCCCCTCCTTGGTCTGTTCGCGGAGAAGGACATTCCGTTTGAGATTGACCGTCGTAGTCAGAACGACGTCTACCCGTCCCTAGAAGAGATGGCGCGCACTGCACTCAAGATACTCAGCGATGCTACCGCTGATAGCGAACAGGGGTTCTTCATGATGATCGAAGGTTCCCGTATTGATCATGCCGGACACGGTAACGATCCCGCAGCGCAGGTCCACGAGGTTATTGCGTACGATAAGGCATTCGCTGCAGTGCTGGATTTCCTCGAGAAAGACTCGACGCCCGGTGTTGTGGTTAGCACATCTGACCACGAAACGGGTGGCCTGGCCGCCGCTCGGCAGCTGCATGCCACCTACCCCGAGTACAAATGGCTTCCCGGGGTTCTGGCCAACGCCAGCCATTCCACCGAGTTCATTGACAACAAGCTTCAGGAGTTTCTCTCTACGGAGACGAAGAAGAACGAGCAGCAACGTTATGTTCGAGAGCTCTTGGAGAAAGGTCTAGGCATTACCGATGCCACAGACGAGGAGATCGATTCTATCCTCGATCCAAATTCGCCGATAAGCTCCCAGTATCAGTTCGCCGGCATTATCAGTCGAAGAGCGCAGATTGGCTGGTCGACCCACGGCCACTCTGGTAAGTGCCAGCCCCTATAGCATGGAGCAGTGGAGATCGGCTAACCGTCGCAGGTGTGGACGTCAACATCTATGCATCCTCTTCGAAAGATGCCTGGGCTCTGGTTGGGAACCACGAAAATACCGAGGTTGGGCAGTTTCTGGCAGACTATCTTGATCTAGACGTGAAGAACATCACCATGCGCCTACAATCATCCAGCGCCTGGTCGTTCGCGGCCGTTGAAGGAGTGTCTTCCACAGATCGGCCCTTCGCCTGGCTAGGGGATCCTTTGGGCGAGAACGTCCGCACCGAGGGCTTAGATACCTACCACGGAGAGTTCAGGAAACGCTCTATGGACGTGGACGGCCTGAAGAAGAGGGAGTGCGGGTGTGGAGGAATGCACTGATTTGATTGAACAGGGTTATATCATTTCCTCCAGGAGCACGGCGTTTGGACATATTATCATATCAAGCATCAATGACATTATTTATAGCAACCAACCCCAATCACACCGTCGGGTTCAGTTACCTCCTTTTTCCACCATCATTCATCACCATTCATGACCACCCAGACGCCTCCCACCAAACAGAATTAGCTACAAAGCAGGGGCAGCGGCGTCTCCAGGAAGAGCGAACATCGCGCTGACTACCCATTGCGTCGATCACGAAAAAATAAAAGAAAACAAAAACATACGACAGCCGGGATTCGCTGGTGGTCACCCACCCAACTACTAACCGGCCGGCGTGTGGCTTAAGTACGGCTGAGCGGACGGGAAGCCCTGTTTTCCACACCCTGTGGTCGTATGTGCTGATCATAGGGGAACAAAAGCTTATATAGGGCTGATATCCACGTGTTATTATAAACCCTAATGCGCTTGTCTCTAGCGGTATTCCATCAAACCCTTGGGGTCATTGATAGAAAGACAAATCAAAAGATCCATTGCATTCCAATCCATAAATGAGTACATCGATGCCACCCTTCCCCTACCTAGCCATCTCTGCCTTACAAATATCATGAATCTCCTTCCAGGCCTGAGCCTGAAGCCTCTTGCCTTGGTCGCTCGTAACCAGTTCTCCGGGCCTGCATCATTGAAAAGGAGATGTTCAGTCTATGTTCACTCGTCCGTGTATATATCAGGTAAAGAAAGACTTACGCCGCAAAGGTATCATTGGTCCAAAATACCCCATGCCCTCGTAGGCCCAGCAGGGTGGCACTCACCAAGGACCGACTGCCTGCATTAACTACGGGGGGATGATTGGGCCGGACACGCGCGATGCGCATCGCCTGGTTTATTTGAGTCGGGAGGATCCTACGATTAGTTCGGAGGTTCATGGGGAGCTTGTGGAGAAAGCTGCTCGAGGCGTACCATGAACGCGAGATGGATATCTCTCGGCCGGAGGTGTTAAAGGAGGCGGCGGTAGCGGCGGGGATTGAGGCTGCGGTGGTGGAGAAGTGGCTGGCGGAGGACGTTGGTAATGTGGTTGACGAGGAGGCAAGGAAGTATAGAGAGATTGAAGGGATTAGGGGGGGTTCCGAGGTTTCTTTTTCCAGGGCAAGTATGAGTGGGATGGAGAGGATCTGCAAGAGTTTATGGAGATCATGGGGAAGGTGAAGGCAGAGGAGTGAAGTGAAGGAGGTCCTTGACAACCATGTAGGGACTAATTGGGCATGTTGATCGTTGTTATGTACAGATGGTGGTCTACCATATTCCCAGAGTTGATTGCTAACGTACACGAACGGAGCTTTTTCAGTCTCGGATTGTTCAATTTTGTGTTATGAATCTAGCTACATTGTGAGGCCGACTGGGTCGCTGAGAAGCCAACCTTCGAACAGCTCAAACGGAGCCTCACTGTTCTTTTTGAAGCTGTACATACGACTGACTCCTAGTGTGAGTTTTCCGTCCTCTAGATACGCCTCCATGATCCTCCCGTGCTGTGGAGTCATGAAGGATAGAAGTAGAACCTGCTCCAAGTTAGTCTTATGTGCAATTCAATCAAAGAGGAGATTTCACAAGCTACTGACCGGGATTGTCTTATACTCGCTGAATTCAGGCTGAGAGTACCGCACTTGCATCGCCAGAAGGATGTAAGCCAACTCATGTGCTCGGATGTCGTCGCCAGCTTCTTCCTCGCTGTAATGTTCGACAGCCATCGTTACATGCGGTAATCTCTGATGATCGACCTCGAAGAGTGCGGACAACGGGTGTTCTGATCGGCCGCCTAACGGTCCATAGCCCAAGTATATCTCAGACAGAGTAGGACTGTCATCCATGCTATGTAGTAGACATGTCCATGTAAGATTCTGCATTCAAAGCGTATGAGACTTTTCACTTACCTGACGTAGCTCCATTCTCTAGCTCGCATCAACACTGATTGCCTTTTTGGCATGTCGACTCGTAGAGCATGCCAGATGTGATGGTTTAAGACCATCTCGATTTGCTGCACACGGGCCTGAGGCTCAGCCGCTAAACGCTCGTCGATGGTTGCCTCAGGACCAGTCTTGGAAGCCACTTCAGCATCATACTCGTCAAGCAACAGTAGGTGTGGAGTCCGCTGCTCGACAAGCCGTCTGTAATCAGGCTTGATAGGATGTTGGGCAAACCAAGCTTCGGGTATGGCCCGAAAATACTGAGGGTGTTGGGTGGGGGTCAAAGGCTCTTCCAGCTTGATAGAAACAACGTTGACGCCTATCTTTTGACACTGCGAAATGGTCAAAATCTCTTCATTGAGTTTGGAAAGTCGGTGGAGGATCCGAGCCACCGCGCGTTTCCTAGTATCTGAGGTGGGGGGCATCGTGTACTCTATATGGAGCTTGAGTGACAAGACAGGATGAAGTTAGATGAAGACGATATGTATGTTTTGTAGACAAAGATGGAGCAGATGAGGAAGTTAGATGAAGAGGATGCGTTTGTTTTCTAGTCAATGTTGGAGCACATGATCGCATGAAGTATAGGTTGTCGTTGTCATAATTCACTACTCGACTAAGTAAGGTACCAAGGTTCCAAGGTAACGGCCCGTTGGCCGTTGCTAAGGCACGTCATACCCGCCTCAGGTGTTTGCGAATTGCACTTAGTTAGCTGTAGGGCCAGGGCTCAGGCCTCAGGGCAAGGGCTGGTGACCAGATCTTTCATATCACCCACCACCACCTTCCGTCTTCTCACCCCCTCCCTTTCCTCTACACATCGATGATGGCTTGGCGAAAGTACTGATGTATGGACGGAGGGTAATAGAGCTCATCGAAGGCGTAGAGTTGAAAGTCTGGGTTGTTACAGTTGGGATGTACGTTGCTGTGTTGACGCACAGGTCTCTGTGAATGCATTGCGAGATGCTGAGAGATAGTGAGTGGTTCATGAGCAGAAGAAGGATTGCAATGGGAGAGGGCCGTATACTCTACTGTGTATGTAGGAACAGCGTGGGATGAAAGAAAGCTTGTGTAGTTAAGTGACTGGCCTAGAGTCCACTACAGGAAGACTGTGAGCCTACAGAGCTTCAGGGACACTTTATTGTAACAATCATGCATTGACTAGGCTATTACACTGTCAAGACACCAACAGATGCAGAAACAACCATAATAGTCGAAACATGAGCGCAATAAACCTCCAGCAGGCCGAGAGTATTAGCGGAATGGTGCATATGCATATGCATATGTGTATGTGTATGTATATCCAAAGGCGGGACTCGCCATGGGAGATGAGAACGGTCTCTCGAGGTGGGCGCAGTGTCGTTCCATGCGCACATCATTACTTTAACATGAAACATCCGAATCAGAAACGGTGGGTCAAAAAATGAACTAGTTAATCGAGTGTATATCAAAGGCGTTCCGGTCGGCTTCTGAGGGAGAGGGGAACGCCAGGTATAGAACAAGAAGGGTAGGGCAAGAAGTAGGACATGCGCCGAGATGACGTGAAGAAGGCATGCACAGGAATATCCAAGTCATGGGCAGAAAAGTATAAAGAAAGAATATCCAAGAAAAAAGTGTGGAAAGTGTCAAGTACCCCGTTCACAGGGTGACCAGAGCAACAACGGCAACCAGAACAGCGAAGAAGGAACCATTCAGGACTCGCTCGTTCTGAGACGGAGCAGCGTTCTTGTTGCTGCTGGCAGAGGTCTCGCTGCCCTGGCTGAATCCGGTGGAGCTGCCAGAGCTGCCCGAGGTGCTGGTACCGGAGCCGCTGCTACCGCCCTGGGAATTGCCAGGCTCGTTTCCAGAGCCACCATTACCAGAGGGAACAGTGTTGGCGCTGCTGCTGGTCTTGTTCGCAGATCCCGAAGCCGAAGAGCTGGCGCCAAGGTTCATGTCAAGTCCGGTAGCGCCAAAGGAGGCGAGCACGGTGTTGTTGTTGGTGATTTGAATGGAGCTTTCGAGACCAGCTTTGTCCTTGAAGATGTATGCCTTGCTGCCCTTGACATCAGCACCGCTGGGAGGGTCGTAGCATTCGACGGTGATTTCGCCGAAAGTGGCGTAGTAGTAACCGGTGTTCTTGATGTCTTCGCTATCCCAGTTGATCTCACCGCCGGCCCAGGCAATGGTACCCTCGGCGTTGCTGGCTTGACCAGCGGGCCACAGGGACAGCTGCATTCTGGAGGGCGTCTGAGGGTACATGTATTGCTTGCTGGTCTCGTTGTAGGTGGATTCCTTGGTCAGAGTTCTCTTCACCTCACCGTCGACAGACCATGTGATGGCCTCGGGCTTCCAGTCAATGGTGTACTCGTGCCAGGCGCCAAAGGTGTCACCACCAGGGACGGAAGCGTTTCCGCCGTGGTGGTCTAGGGGGGAAAAATATGTGAGTTAAATTGCAAAAACCATGGTCCGCGATCCACCATTGAACTTACAGTCAAGAATACCCTGGAAGTAGTAGTTAGTCTGAACATGGGTCAGGTCGGCACCAACGAACTCGTAGTCGATCTCGTCCTTGGTGTCAGACAGCAGAATGAAACCGGTGACCACACCAGCGCCACGACTGCTCTTGATCTTGGCCGAGATCTTGCCGTACCAAAGGTAGTGGTTGTTTGCGATCAGGGTGCCGACGCTGTTCTTGGGCATGGTGAGCAGGAGGTTTCCATCCTGAACCTTGGGAGAACCGCTGTAGACCCAGTCGTATTTGGTGGCATTGCCCAGGTACTTGGTGTTCTCAGCAGCGCTGTCGAGGTTGGACCAGTCCTTGTAGGTCTTGCTCTGGCAAACAGGTTCAGGGGTACAGGAGTCGAGAGAGAAGGACGTGAGAGGATCGCATCCGCCCAAGCAGTAAGCGCCCGTACCACACTGGCCGTACACTGAGGTAGAGGAACGGTTAGGTTAGGTCTGAGCAACTAGGTAGTCTGGAACTTACGAGAACAGCAAGGCCATTCTTCAGGGCAGTGAGAGTCCTGGCTGCAGCTTGGAGGGTCGGAGGCAGCCGAGACTGTTGTAGCAGCCAGAGTGGCCAAGAGAAGTGAAGAGCCGATGCGCACCATGGTGGCTGATATTGTACAAGAGAATGGATATGTACAGAGACTGGGGAATAAATGTGTATGGACAAAGAAAGATCACCAGGAGGGTGGAGGGATGAGGGAACTGTGAAGAAGAATCAGTAATGAGAAACACAGAACCCGTTTGAATATTACAAAATTTAATGGGTTCTTTTGAGGAATGGAACGTACCAAAAGATTGAGCGAGAGTTGAACCAGACCCAGAACTCGTGAGGGTCGGAGTGGAACAGGGGACAATTATATGGAGAAGTATGCAAAAGATGACGCACCAATCAACGAAAGGCCGCGGTAGATTTTTCAACGAGGGGAATCAGCGATTGCTGGGGAATAAGGGTGAAAGAAGAGGAGGAAAAGAAGGAGAAGCAAATAAGAATAAGAGAAACGAGTGTGGTTCTTTTCCTTTGCCCCTCTTGAGTTCTTTGTCGACTATTGTCTCCGGATCAATCAGTAAGTAGCACCGAGCGTAGTGATAATCTTCCGTCAGACCAAGAGGAGAAAAAGGGGAAGCGATCAGAAGTTGGGGTGGCGGATTTTAAATAATAAAACAGGCACAAAATGAATTTAATGGGTGTTGATAATAATAATAATTTAGTTTAGAGACATCAGAAGATTATTGGTCCTGGAATCGACTATCTATCACTTGGCTGGACGCATAAATCGACTTGTACCTAAGGTAGGTGTGTCATACTAGCCCAACCGTTTCCATACAGCAGCTTCAAGACATCTGGAGTCGACTTGACCCTGAAGGCCCTGAACAGGGTCCGCATTCGGTCAATTCCATTCCTCGAAGACGGATAATCTTGATTTTTGATCGAAGATGAAATGATAATTGTGATCATGTTTCTTCAATAATAAGAGACAATGACCTCAACCATGCGATCATCTGAGCGCGAAATTTCGAGAACAGTCAGTCCATCCACAAGTCACAACTACCGAGTCAGGATGGCATTACGGAGTATTGCCCGCTGATAAGCTGGAGTCAAGCGCCTTGTATTTACAAAACACACAGGGCCTAGTTGATGGACCCACAGCCACTAAAGTCAATTCTGCGACTTCTGCCTGCTCAAAAGTCCATTTCCAAGAACAAGTCTGTTACTATGGGTTTTAAGATTTCATAGCGCTAAAATTTGTATTATGTGGAAATGAAAAGTCATAAAATACGCCCAAGACAAGCACGGGACCCCTCAAAGGAGACGCCAAGGGAGACACCTGACCACTAAGGAAAGACCTCCAACTTGTCTCACCCTATATGCCGGACTATTAATCAATCACCAAGCTGGAAGGAAGAAACAGACAAACCCCTAAGAAAACACAACAGATTTTAATCCATCCACCCGCACCCACCATTCATATTCGAATTGATGAACTGCTCTGAGCCAATCAGATAATCTCTTAAGGGTCTGCTTGATATGAACTGTAGCTACGGCGTACATAGGATCAAAATAATAATATAATACCTAACATGGACGCTCTCAGCAGACTGCTACTTCTCTCTAAGAGTCAAGAACCAAGTGTTTTCAATCTCTTGGACTCTTGGTTGGCTTCTTGGTTCCTCCTTGGATTAGCGACCGCCAACCGACTGGTGACTTGGTATGGGTTGGCAATGACAAAGAGAAAAGACAGCACTTGCCAGCGGTACTCTACAAAAGAAACGGATGATGATAGCCTGGATTGACTCTCGGCTCTTGACAACCCAGAAGTTCATGTAGGTTTTTAAGGATTTATTTTTAGATTGCCTCAAAAGTCTTACCTCTCGCCACAAAAGTCTGTTCCATGCGCTCATTGGAATGCCGCTGAGAGATTATTACCGCTTACGGGCTGGACAACCAAATAATAAATACTGCAAAAGAAGGAAACAATTCATGTCTCCGACCATGGATTTTGATCGAATTCGACCACACTCTGTCCTACTTACATACATAAGGTAGTGATGCATTGTTATCATCTTTACTTTGATTGTCATGCTTCATGGCGATAATGCTACCTAGAGTTGCTGGCTGGAGTTTGAAAATAACAGTAACATTATAATTGATTTACCCCTTTACTTAACCATCCTAGCATGAGTTTCACAGCATATACTCCTCCTTACTCTAATAACCAAAGACCTTTTAACCGCGTTATTGTAAACCTCTTAAACCTCACAAGGTTACTTACAGCACCTGCCATGCACAACAAACAAACAGAAACAGTACCACTTGACTATCCTTCCAGCCTTCCATCAACCTTCCATACATATTGTGGAACAATCTTCGGCTTGCGGACAACCTACATTCCAATAGACATCATATCGACGCCATATCTGAAACCCTGTCAGATGGTATTACCTGTTGATTTCATCACTAATTACTATTCTATCCCACCTGACGATCATCATTGCCGGCTGCATCATATTGTAGGAAGCGTACGTGTGCTGTCTACGACATGTTCACATGCTGTGACTCTTTCCATGCAAGGAGGTTGGGTACTGCTGCAAGCCAAAGTACAGTAGGAGGGTAGACTAGATATATTCTGAAACTTTCATGAGTCTCCTGGGGTCTATACCAACGCGGTGGTCAGTCATCAACGTCCAACCAACAAGATCGTCGCCTTGAGCAATGTAGTTGAAGACGGATGTTCACATAGCACTAACCTGATACATCTATCCACTTTGTCCCTCCTTCGCGTCCATCATAATTTCAAGTTGAAAGTTGAGCGGCAAGGTTGAAGTACTAAACATATAGAAACAATGGTCTACTCCGCAAAGCAGTGCATGATAGCAGACAGTTAAAAATCTTGCCATAACAGGACATTCCGACTCAATCGACTGTAGGATGACCTGCTCGAGTACAGTACAATAGGCTCATTTGAACAGAGATGGCTTGTAAACTGATATGGACCTCACTGAGGTCGAACGATCGTTCCCACGAGTTAAAGGACCATCCGTGTCGTGCTCCCATTCCACGGTTTCCACCGGTGGAGAAAGTTCCCACTCGTGAACAAATTGCCCTTGCTTATCCTGTTCTCTTCTCGACTCCTGATATATCCACTTCATTCCCTCACATGAATTCATTCCATCAGTATCGTGGCCATGCCATGAGACAGCGGGAAACAATAATCCCACGATCAGCGCATGGATTTCTTCGCGAAGTTCAAATTCTTCGCGAAGCTGGGGCGTGCTGTATCCTTGACCAAAACCAACTCCTTTTCGCAGGGATCCGAGGAGTAAGTCACCGAAACACCACTGTAGACAGCACGGGTGTCCTTCCACTTGTTGAAGGCCTCCAGGACTCTGCGAGCAACGGCAGTGCTCGTAAACACGGCAGTAGCTATGTTATGGTTAGGCTTCATCCATATACGGGGAACCGCAACATGACACTCACCGTTTCCAGAGTTAAAAACCCAGAGGAAGTCGATGTTGCCGAGTCCAGCGACGGCACGAATGTCCGACTTCCATTTTTCCGGCGACATGTTATCGGCAAAGAGCCTCTTTCTCGCGAAAGACAGGCGCCGACGCTCTCGGATGGGCTGGTTCATCCGGCGGTGATCATCGTTCCAATCGATGATCTCGGCCATCTCGACATTGTAGCCCGTGCCAAAGCGCCCATATCCGAGCATCTCTTCCATCTCCTGGTTCGACTTCACAAAGGCAAGTGCATGAGAGGCATACTGGAAGGTGACTCTGGTCCTTTCGTTCGTCTCAACCCGAATCTCCTGCAGGGGACCTTCGTGGATACGGGTGGTGATGAAGCGGATCGCCTCCCTGGAGACTCTGCCGTAAATACGTACGACGCCCGCTTTGGCTTCCGCGATCTCGGGTGAGAGTGGTGCCCCGGAGAAATCCATGGCTCTCGGGCCATTCTCCCCATCAATGCTGTGACTCTGCTTGGATCCGGAAACGGACGACATCGACATAGGCGACAAGTAGTGCAGTGTTTCCTTTGGTTGGCACTGAACCTTCGCCATAGATCCGGCAATTTGAGCCCAGCTTCCAGCTCGATTGCCGTGGCCCCTGACAGGCTCTTTGTTCTCCTTCTCAACCTCATTCATAAGGGCAGCAACAGCTTGCTTCTGGATTATGTCATGACGCATGCTCTGCTGGTTTTCGGCACCCATGTTCCTGCTTGGGAGCTATTATTGCGTGTTAGCTTTGTGACCATGTAACAAGATGACCAGAAAGTACTTACCCCGTCATCGAGCACGTAGTCGCTATCGGGAATATGCTCGATTCCCTCAGAGAAGGCATTGACGATCATGATGCTCAACTTTCCCAGTTCGTTGGCTGGCTTGTGTTGCTCATGCTTGCGGAACTGCTGTCATCAGTTTGCCGTCCCGATTACCTCCATGATGCGAGACTTACGTGACAGGCAATGCGATTCAGATGGCCCAAGGCCTCGGCCATAGCCCCATCAATGGTATACACCGTCATTGTCGGGAGGATCAATATGTTAAGCCAGTTTGTCGGAGATTCCCGGTTTTGTATTGAGAGGTGTCTGTACGTGAGCGCTCAAGGTCCGTATCCTGTTGCAATGATGTTGATGTTAGACACAGGTGCAGGACAGTGAGGCTTTTCTAAGCTATCAGGGTTACTCACTGCTTAAGCTATTGAAAAGTATTAAATGAGTCTCCACCGGACAGAAGACTGTCAGAGGGAGCGATCAGGACACTGGAGTGTCAGAGACACTGCCAGATGAGAAGGCAAGGCAAAGATCAACACAGACGGTGGTGTTCTTTGCATCAATGAAGACAATGTTAGCTGAGTAGAGGTCAATAAAGGAAGTTGAAGCTGCGCAGAGAGTATTTGCTGTTTCTCAAAGGACCTTTGTGCTCTCAGTGTTACTCTGTGAGGAAGGTGAACATTTCTCGCGAGTATTTGAGCATCTAGATTGATAAATAAGCCCTTAGAGCCTGGTCTGATTACAAAAGAAGGAGAGATGCAGAGAAGAGGAATAGAAGAGGCTGAAGAAAGTGAGAGGAAAAAGAGAGAAGTGAGGGTAGGAAGTGGTTAA